GGCCTTAGAAGGCTGCATGAGTACTGCCAAAGATGGAAACTCAAGGTTAACTATACAAAGACGGTATACACAAACTTTACCAAAAGCCATCAAGTAGCAAGGAAGGATATGAACCTGGGGTTAGACAAACACCAAGTGATGAAAGAAGAGCATCCTACATACCTTGCAGTCACACTTGACCATCAGCTCAGCTTAAAGAACCATATTAAAAACATTAGAAATAAGGCATTGTGGCGGTTACAGTTATTAAAGAGACTTGCACTTACAGCATGGGTATCAGACAAGGAAACTCTGAGGGGCTTATATCTTACATATGTTCGCTCTGTGATAAAGTACAACAACTACTGCTCACAACCTGCTCCAAAACTAACGTAGAGACTATTGAAAGAGTACAATAAGAATAAACTCACAGGGAGCAAGTACAGCGGGGATCTACAGTCATCAGTAGAAATTATCCTCTTTCGACACACGTTTCGGCCCACGATTCCTAAACGTATTCGGAGGTGGGCCCACCTGAGTTCATGAAGCTCAGGGCTGCTTCCCCGCTGCACAGAATTACCGGATGGTGTTATTATTTCGGCCAGAGACAAGACGACTTGGTGGTTTCGAAGGAGGTACTGTGAGATAAGAAGCCGCCACCGCAGCTTAATTAGAACAGTCAGCGTGCCTGGACGACCGAGCGACAAGCTTATTTTGGTTTACCGGACACATGTTGGACTTTTATTAGCAGTTGGCAGAGGAACACTGGCAGACAAATCGGACACGATGGACTTTTCAAAAGGATGAGAAACTCTTTTCCACTACATACCCGGACCAGCTCACCGAGGCCCGTCCCCTACGTTGTTGCGCTGCGTCCACAGCCAGCTAGAGGCCCTTTCGGCTGCCTCTCCCAGTTTTTTGAGTGTTCGTTTCCGTTCATTACCGCGCAATCCTAGTTCTTTTACCACATTGTAGAGCGAAGTGGAAACGAGGTCTCTCGCTCCCACTTCGACGGCAAATACCCGCACTGTGTAAGCCTCGTTTCTCCTCAAACCGGCTGCTAAATCACTGTACTTTTCGAGCTTGTACAAGTGATTCTCCTCCATACGCGACTCAAACGGGACCGTCAACTCAATCAGGATGAGTTGCCGTTTTTGCGCAGAATGGAGAACGATGTCCGGTCGCAGGCCGGTTTTACGGATCAACTCGGGATACCTTTCATGTCCTGGCAGATCAACCGCCAGTAACCAGTCCCTCGCAGAGTCTAGCACAGATGGAGCGAATGCGTTTTTGTTGACCTTACCGATTGGAACCTGCCCAGCCTTGAGGAAACGAATGGGGGCGATACTAGAACTGGCTCTGGCATTAGCCCTCATTCTAGCCTGGTCGACAACGGCTGCTAACTCCTTTAGCACCTTGTTGTGGCGCCAGGTATATCGGCCTTGACCTAGAGCTTTCCTGCACGCGGACAGGACGTGCTCAAGAGTTTGCTTTGATTTGCACAACGGGCAAGTCGGATCGTTGGTCGCAGACCATTTAACCATGTTAACACCGGACGGTAATACATCATACGCCGAACGAACGATAAAGCTCAGTCGCAGCAGGGTCATCCGCCAGATCTCACCCCATGTGAGTATTCTCGGCAATGCGCTCTCCAGGCTGACCCAATGGCCCTGCTGCGACTGCTGGGCTGCTTTCTGGACCCGAACCTCGTTTTCGTTGTCCCTCACCGTTTGTATCACCATGTCTCGGCGTTCTTTGGCTGAGGCCTTTGACCACCAATTGACTTTTCCGTGCCCTAGGCCTCGACGGTCGGTTTGTGTGTAACCCATTAACTCTCTCAATTTTAGTGCGTTCTGGGCAGATTCAATCGCATCGAGGACCCTCCACTTGGTACCAGTCTTTAGAGCGGGCTGGACAGCGATGACATTTGGGTCTGAAGACTCGCGCAGAAGCATGGCGAGCCTTACTTTGCCGACTTTAAACTCTTCGGTTATTGACTTGAACGGAAGTACCAGCTTAGCCTGTTTGCAATACAGAGCCACGTCGGTCAGACAAGGCGGTGCACCAATCCACTTTCTTAAGGCTGTGTTGATTTTCTTTTCCATTGTTTCCACTGCAGTCATCGTCACCTCGTAGACTAGCAGTGGCCATAGAAGCTTCGGAATCAACATGAATTGGAGACACCATACCTTGAATTTTCCGATCAGCCTGCATCGCTCGAAAAATGATCGCGAGCAGGCCTGTAGCCAGTGACTCATGTATTCGCCGGACTTCCGCTCTGTCAGATAACTTCGAATCGTAGACGCGACCGAGGCTCTTCACCGGTTCCTCCAGAACCGTAGGGATCTTGTTCCTTGCCACCGTAAAAAACTGGTCGCCGAAACCTTGCCCTTATGGATTGACAGACTCCTCGACTTCTGCGGTTTGAACTGCATACCGCTCCATTGGACCACCGCGTCCAATCTATTCAGGATCGTGCGGGCAGACTCCTCGCTGCCCGTTATAATAGTCGTGTCATCCATAAATGCGCGCAGTGGCGGCAACCAGTGATCCCCTATTTGAAGGCCCAGTCCGTAGCCGGCCGCCCCGTCTAACATGATCTGCATTGCCATGACAAACAGTATGGGTGAGATCGTACAGCCCATAGCTATCCCAATCTGCAACTCAGTCCACCTCGTGGTAAACGTCGAGGTAGAGAAGCGCAAAGCGAACTTGGAGAAATATTGCTCGACCATTTGACTGATCTGTGTCGGTACGTGAAACATGCGAAGGGCTCGCCACAGTAGCCTATGGGGGACTGCCATATAACGTGCAAATCGGTTCTCTCATGCTTGGCTCTCTGGATAGCCTCCCAGATCATGGTCGCGTGTTCAAGGCACCCAGGAACGCCTGGAATACCACCCTTCTGAACACTCGTATCTATGTACTTGTTAGTCATCAGATACTGTGTGAGCCGGCGAGCCATGACTGAGAAGAATATCTTACCCTCAACATTCAACAGCGAGATGGGCCTGAATTGGGAAAGACTCTTCGAGTCCTGCTCTTTGGGAATGTAGACCCCATTTGCCTTTGACCACTCTGGACATATGTGGTTGCGGATCCACGCTTGTCTCAACAAGACGTGAAGCATTTTTAGGATTTTCGGGCAACGCTTGTAAAGAACGTACGGGACACCGTTCGGACCTGGGGCAGACTTGCCGCTGGCTTTTTTCACAACGTCCTCAACCTCAGACCAAAGGGGAGGTACCATTTTAAATGGTACCTTCGGTACCGAAGGCTGTTTGAGACCGCTAAGGATCTCTGGATTGTCATCGAGAGGCTCTCTCCTCTTTTTATCCGAGTACATCTTGCGTAGATGTAGCTCTAGTTCTTCCTGACTGACAACCAGAGTCCCAGACTTCGGTTGCTCGAATAGACCTCGGGCAAACTGATACGAGCAACCTGCTTCAAAACTAACGTAGAGACTCTTAAAAGAGTACAAAATAAAGCCCTCCGATTAATCTGCGGAGCTATGCGGTCTACTCCAACTGCTGCGTGTGAAAACCATACAAATGTGGAACCCCTCAGGTTGAGGAGAGAAAAAGCCACCTGAGAAATGTATGAAAAATGCGTTAGAATAAATAGTAACCATCCCAATAGACACTTTTTAGAAAATTGTGAATTCAAATAAAGAATAAAGCACAAATCGGTTTTACACTGTGTTTATGAAATACAGGACAGATACCACCTACCGGAAAGGCATCAAGACATTCAGAATGTTGCAAGAAACCTACCACCACAGGCTGGCTTTAAAGCTCTAGAAGTCCGAATGAAATTTGAAGACGAGGAAATCAAACAGTCCGACCCAGTCGCTCTTATGAACTCATCGCTAAAGACGATTGATTCTTACCCCCGAGAATGGATACATGTTTATACTGATGGATCTGCATTTAGAGCTACCATTAAAGCAGGTTACGGAATCTACATAGGTTATCCTGATGGATCTGTTGGAAATATTTGTGATGCATGCGGGAAATTCTGCTCAAATTATGAAGCCGAAATAATTGCACTGGAAACAGCATTATACCACCTAAAGACTAATGGATGATTAAAATTTAAATGCCCAAAATATTGTCATCTTCACAGATTCAATGTCCGCCCTTCAAATATGGAGGGCATTAAACGCTGCAGAACGGACGTAGCCAGGATAATTCTGGATGTTGATCAACTCATTAACTCATACAGCATCATAATAGTGATGCAGTGGATTCCAGGCCACTCCGGCACACCAGGTAATGACAGATCTGACAGACTGGCAAAGAAAGGAGCAACACAAGAACAACCACCTACAGTGACAACCCTACAGACAGCAAAAACACTTATAGGAGCTATAAACAAATAGACTTGGTTGAACAGATGGGCCATGGGAGACACTGGAAGAGAGGTTTATAAACATATGACTGGCCCGGATTCTAATAACAGCATTAACCATCTAACAAGAAGGGACCAGGCCACCATCTTCAGACTTAGAACACAGTATACTCCACTCAGTGGACATCTAAACAGAATACAACCACAACACTCACCAGAGTGCCAGCTAACTACCCCTAAGAAACTGTTGAACATCGCCTCTGTGAGTGGCCAAAACTCAGCGAGATTAGAAGAATACTACTCCCTCGGAGACCAGACAAGTGAAACACCTTGTACGGAGGAAAAGAACACCTTGTGAAAACATGCTAATTCCTCTACATGGCACTGGGCCAAAGGGCGAAAGCTCATGCGCCGCTGGATCGATAACAACAACAACAAACAACAGCGAAGATTCAAAATTAAGACAAGTCAGCCTGCCGTCATTTACAATCCTGTCGCACAATCATGTATATTAAAAATACATATCAAATCAATTATTAGTTCGGAATGGATACATGTTGCTGGATATATGTTTTTATCATATGGGATATATTTAACTAGAAAATGTTTTAAAAAATGTTATATTATAAGTAAATATGTTTTTTTTTTCAGTTCTTCTTTATTTTCAGGATTATCTGTGGCTGATTTAGGCAACCTAGTTACAATGGTATGGATGTGTATCTGTTTCACTCCAGCATTTATTGACGCGGATTTACCATTCGACACTACGGACTTGGCTTATCTTGTGTCTGCAATACCACATTTCGCTTTCACCAGAGTCAGCAGTTCTATCACTGCTTTTATCTCGCTAGAAAGGTGCTTGAGCATTGTAGCTCCTTTAAAGGTCAGTATGCAATACTCATGTCAGTGGTTTATGTCTGCAGAAAAGGGAGCTGCGTGGTCTCAAGGCATGGTGTCCGCCTCGAGTGTTAGAGGTTCCGGATTCAATCCCCGGTAAGGGTTCAGGTCTTTTCACGTAGGATTGGACTTCTAGTTCCCCCTGGTCTCTGGGTAGTGAGATCGGACGCCTTTGGGCATTGCCGTGAACGTAAAAAAAATCTGTTGGGAGCTGAAAATTGAAAAGAGTAGCCGAACGGCGCTGCCCGGGCAAAATTTTGAGTTAAAAATCTACCCAAAGTATTTTTGGTTCCTCGCCGGTGCTACAGAGCCTGTGCACTGTGCTGAGCTTTTTCGGACTTAGACTTGAGTTAGAAGAAGAAGGAGCAATAATGTGTTACTGCCCGTGTGCTATGATGTTGATCCGTTGTTTAAAACATCAAACATATTTGCAAAGTGTTTCATATACGAGAGAAAGTCTTTGAGTAATGGAAATTATATCCTAGTCTGCGTGGAACAGTGGTAGTAAAAAAAAATATTATTTCAGGACACAGAATGGCCCTTTTGCAATAGGGCGCGACGTGATGAGTTAGCATTGTGCGAATGTGCAACATCTCGTGCATGACTGAAATCCTTGCAATTGTATTTAACAGTGGGAGACTTCATTGCGCACTGGTTTCTAGTCAAAACTTACTAAGTCTCATGTTTAGATTTAAGATAGATGTAGAAGATGATAGCAGTACAGTGTGCCCCATCAGCCACAATATAAATATGTCCTAATTTGTGACATTATAATTGTGTAGTTGATAAGAGTTTGAACACCATAACAACTATTATACATGGATTATACATTTCAATATATTGGTTTTCTGTTGAGACTTGAGCCGTGAAAGATATCGGGGTCTCACTACGTAATATTCGCAGACACAACAATGGTACACAGTAGCCTTCTTTGCATGCAGGTCTCACTAGTCCATCTTTCCATAGGCCATGGACGGTGAATCCCATGCCTCCTCATAGCACAATATAAAATTATCGCCCGTGAAGACATAAAGTTGTCAACAAATACAGCAATAAACAATGTGTGTATGATTGTGTTGAGTGCATATGGAATACATGCTGTTACATTATGCACATTATGAAAAGATTCAATGCATTTGATAACATACGTAATAAGTAAATTTTACTCTTCTTTTTCTACTTGTCTTTCTACTCTTCATTCTTTTCTTACTCTTCATGTTAATTCTTCTTCTTCATCTTACTCTACTTCATCCTCCTATTCTTCTTCTTCATTTTACACTTCCTTTTATTTTGTTTTCTTTACTTCTAATTATTTAAATCGCTACGCATCACATTTGGTTCAGCCCTTTAGTAGCAACTCGTCGGGAAACATGATCGCCTCAGACATAAAGATCAATCGTTATGAGGTTATCTAAACCAAACTGCCTCACCAAACTTTATCAAAAGCAGTAAAATGTCATTTACTGAGAATATCATGAAAAGAGAATCCGAGAATACGTACGGCAACTGAAATATTACAGGTAAATATTGACAATTGTGGAGGGAATTGAAAGAAACGATTTTAGGCAATTTCAGAACATGCATGTCGGAACATGGGTATCATTAACAATGACACATTTAAGAAATGGTAAGGAGAGACCGCAGCCTCCGTGGCTTGGGCGTTGCGAGTCCAACTCGAAATCCAACGTACCGAGATTGAAACCCACTGCTGGCTGCGTGGATTTTTATCATGGTATGGGGCTTCGCAGCTCGACCCAGCCTAAGATGGATACCTGGATGGCTGTCATGGAAAGTAAAGACGGCCGGCGTTATGCTGACCACATTACCCATCGAGTGCCGATTTGTCTGTAAAAAAACAATGGAACGCTCTTCCCAAATACCCGATGTGCCTAAGGCGGGAAAAGGGACCTTTGATTTTACTTTATGGAGAGACCAGACCAGCAATATACGACACTGATCTTTACAAACCTTTGAAGAAGATCTCCATTGGCTTTGATGAGATTGGTAACGGAGGTTTCCAATGCTTAAAATTTATTATTTTAGGAATGCTAATAAATGTGAACGATATAAAACTCTCACTCTTCTATTTTCATAGGTCAAACAGATTATTACCCCAAAGCGAGCCGGTGCTATTACCGTCAGTATCTTCGTCATCTTCACAATCAGTGCTTCACCTTCTTTGGCTGTAAACAGTCTTGGCATGAAGTTTTCTATCGTGAAAAATAGAAGCATTGTTGGAATGGTTTCGACTCACCAGCGAGAGGAGGTTGAAATGGTTGCATTTGCAGTCAACAACTTTGTCATCCCTGTCTCTGCATTTGTGATCGTTGCCATCTGCACAGTTATTTTGTCAATCCGACTGCGCAGCAACGCCAAATGGAGAAAGACAGTATCTAGTGATAATAAAACTGATAGAATTTCCAGCCGTAACCTGAAGGTAGCAAAGATGGTTGTAGCAATTTCAACTTTGTTTATTGTATGCTTGTTTCCAAACAGCATGTTGCTGCTTGTAGCTGCTTTTGTACCTGAACTGTGGGTGACTGGAAAGTATGTGAGCTTATCAGTAGTAGTTGGTAGTGTAACGTTTGTGTTAGAATGTATTAACTCTTCAGTAAATATATTTATTTACCACCATATGAGTAAGAAATACAGAGACACCTTTAAATCATTATTTATGAAAAGACAGACGCAAGACAACTAAAAACACTGGCAGTTATTTTTACATCGTATTGATCTAATGAGAAATCGGGCTGAGGAATTCGTATGTGTAAATTACGAATTAGAATGAATTGCATAGGTATTGTGTGTCCGTGGTTCATAGTTTCAAGTTTACATCATCATTCCTTTTTTTAAAACGCTATCTTCTGCTTTTCTATCCCCCAATGGAGCATAGGCCCTCAACCAGCTCACGCCAAGTCTTTTTATCCTTAGTCATTGAATGGAGCTCTCCCCATGTCCTCCCAATCTTTCTAGCCTCATTCTCCAGCTCTCTTCTCCATGTGTTTTTTGGCCTCCTTTATTCCTATGACCCTGTGGATTCCAATGCAAAGACATTGTAGTTATGCTGTTCTCATGTTTTCTCAGTGTGTGTCCTATCCAACTTTTCCTCACCTCTTGGTCCACTGGAGCCTGTTTAGTTCTCTGCCAAAGTTATACATTATCATACCATTTAATTCCATCTATTCTGCGAAGGTACCAATAAATGTCTGTAATTTATTAGTAATTGCATTAGTTGTTCTCCATGTTTCCGCCACACACAATAGTACTGATTTGACATTAGAATTAAAAATTATTAGTTTAGTATTTCTGCTAATTTCCTTTGACCTCCACACATTCCCTAGTGCCAAGAAAGCCCTTTTTGCCTTTTGTATTCTTATTTTAATATCTCTATCAGTTCCGCCATCTTTATCTACATTACTGCCCAAATAGGTGAACGACTCCAAGTCTTGTAGTGGGTTGCCATTAAGAGAAACCACAATACTATTAGCCTGATTTATTCTAATTTTCTTTGTCTTTCCTTTACGGATTTTCAGACCAAGCTGCTGTGATCGCGCATCAAGTATATTTAAATTATCTTGCATCTGATTCCGTTAATGGGACAGAAGAGCAATATCATCAGCGAAGTCCAGATCATCAAGCTGTTTTGTAGGGGTCCACTGAATCCCATTCTTGGTGTTAGGAGTTACTGTTTTCATAATCCAGTCTATAGCCAGTAAAAATAAGAGAGGCGACAAAAGAAATCCCTGTCGCACAATTGTTTTTATTTCAAATGCATCTGTTAGCTTTCCCTCATGAAGAACTCGACATTTCATGTCTTTATATGTTGCCTTTACAAAGTTGATAATTTTCTATAGAATTCCATAGTGTCCCATCAATTTCCAGAGAGATTCCCTATCAATGATGTCAAATCCTTTTTCATAGTCTATAAATCCATTGTAAAGTGGTGAGTTCAGTTCAATGCTTTGCTCTATTATAATACGTAATGTTGGCTATCTGATCAGTACAGGATCTGTTTGACCGAAAACCTGCCTGCTCATCTCTTAGCTTTTAATCAATAGCATATTTTGAGCTTTCCAAAATAATTCTACTTAATATTTTTCCAGGAACTGACAGCAACAAAATTCCTCTATAGTTTTCACACTCCTGTAGATCACCCTTTTTAGGCAGTTTCACAAAATAACATTCTCTCCAGTCTGTTGGTATTTCTTCGGTCTCCCAGACTTTACTGAATAATCTATGTAGCAATTCTGTTAATGTGTTTATGTTGGCCCTGATGGCTTCAGCTGGGATACCATCTGGGACTGCCGCCTTTCCTTCCCTGAGAAGACTGATAGGTTTTCTAATTTCCTCTTTGGATGGAATCTCACAGTTGATATCTAGTTCCATTTCTAAATGCTGGATATCTGGGGGAACCTCTGGGCATGGTCTATTTAGAAGCATTTTAAAATATTCATCCCATCTGTCCGTTTTATCTTTGGCGTTATTAATTACCTTTCCTTGACCATTTTTGATTGATCCAGTTAGCTGACTATATTTACCTACTAATTTTTTTGTGTTACTGTAAAGTTCTCTGAGGTTTCCTTTTGTTGCTGCTGTCTCCGCTTCTTTGTGCTAGATCATTTAGATATTTTACTTTATCTGCCCTTATTTGCCACCTAACTTCCTTATTGGCTTCTGTGTATTTCTCCTGAGCTCTAGCTTTAGCCGCTCTAGTTTTGCTATTGTTTAAGTCTGCCTTTTTACTTTTCCTATCTTCATTCAGTTTAATTGTTTCTAGTGTTATCCATGCTTTATGTTTCCTTTCTTTCTTGCCAAGAACTTCTACGCAAGATTCATTCCAGATTCCTTTGATCTGATCCCAGCAGACTTCTGTGATGACATTTTCAGCTAACTGCTGCAACACCTGGTACTTATTAGAGACTGTAACTGAGAACTGTTCCTTAACTTCTTTATCCCTGAGATAGCCTACATTATATTGAATTATAT